AAAACTTTGTAGTAGCCCTTTGAAAATGTGTTATTACACGTTAGGGAGGCACCCTTTCTCATGGAAAACTAACTGCATGACCTACCGTCTACCTCAGATGTAAGTGCTGATCCTTTTTATCTGTATCTTGATGTTACTCCTTTTTTTGATCATTAAACATACTACACTATTGGAGTTCTTTTTCTCTGGGCTCATTTTTTGGCACCGAGAGTCCTTCCCCTGAAGGTACCTATCTGGATTCCCATCTGAATGTATGATTCCCCTGATGGCTGGAAATTGCACTGCTGGACGCAGCTAACCTAAGATGTTCACACATTGATGGAGAGGAAACCTGCCCTGGATAGATGACACCTGGAAGCGGATTGGTTTCTAAGCAGAGCTGCTCCAGATTTTGCACTCTCCAGTTTTAGTAAATCAACCCCATTATGTAATGTATAATATCTTTTGTGGTGGCATCTGGTGTAACTACAATTAGCGGTGCACTGAAATGAGCGCCCAATTGTGCGAAATGGCGTCCCACAGGTGTGCCATTTCGCACAACCAGACCACACTATGGAAGACCTCAATATTTTAGTTCTTAAAGGAAATTTCAAATCTATTCAGGAAAGGAAAACTTTTGAACTAAGAAAGATAATTCTATTTGATACAAAAGATAACGGCCTTAACTTGGACATGGGATTCCTCACTCATTATCCAACAGTTTTATGACCCCCTCTGTGAGTGTTGTCTCCCCCTCCTTGCTTTTGTTGTGTCTTATCTCTAGTCTAATCCTAGTCTTTTAACCCTTTACATGTATATCTGTGTGTTTCTTTCTGGGGTTTTTTTTTCTCCCCCTTTCAACATCTCTTCTAACATTCTGCTAAAACTTTGTAGTAGCCCTTTGAAAATGTGTTATTACACGAAACGCGTTAGAGAGGCACCCTTTCTCATGGAAAACTAACTGCATGACCTACTGTCTACCTCAGATGTAAGTGCTGATCCTTTTTATCTGTATCTTGATGTTACTCCTTTTTTTGATCATTAAACATACTACACTATTGGAGTTCTTTTTCTCTGGGCTCATTTTTTGGCACTGAGAGTCCTTCCCCTGAAGGTACCTATCTGGATTCCCACCTGAACGTATGATCCCCCTGATGGCTGGAAATTGCACTGCTGGACGCAGCGAACCTAAGATGTTCACACATTGATGGAGAGAGGAAACCTGCCCTGGATAGATGACACCTGGTGAGGCACCCCCACCTGATGACCTCATCCGCATGCAGAGTTCCCACCCCGAGTACCTAGGAGTAGGTCTTATATACCCCAACGCACATTAATCTGTGCTATCTGGTCAGTGCATAGTACGCTCGTTACTTCCAGCCACAGCAGTCACGAAAGCTAATTGTTGCTTATTGTGTCACTACAGTCACTCTATACCTCATGAACTATATTCAAGACTGTACTTCTGTTTTGTGATATCATTGGTCTACCATATATACGCTATAGCGCCGCATTTGTACTATTATTTTTTGTAGTAGTACTGCCTGGACCTTGAAGAAGGGGATTCCCCGAAAGCTTGTCCTCAAAATCGTATGTTAGTGCAAATAAAAAAGTATCACGTCAGTACTCAATTGTTTTTGCGGTAAGAATAAAACTGATTAAATATTTTATTTTAAGGGACAGTGCAAAAAAAAAAAAAAAATGAAATAAATTAAAAAAAAGTTTAAAGTGCCCCCCCCCATACATAGGTCACGCCCACATATGTAAATGGTGTTCAAACCACACACGTGAGGTATTGCCATGAACGTCGGAGTAAGAGTCCAAGCCCCAAAACGGCCCACCACTACCTTCTTTCAAGTTGGGCACAAAGCTATGGCAGGGAATTCTTCCTACCCGCTCATGTTATCACCCACCCATAACCAGGGACTGATCCAGTCAGCCCAGCTCAATTTCCAGCCCCAAAGAAATACCAGACATTATATTGGAATAAAATTTACATTTGGACTAGAACACGATGGAGCGGTGCTTTAATCCGACACTCAATAATAAGTACTGAAACCACCAGAGATATATGACAGCCAGGGAACTAGTGTGGTCAGTAAGCAAAACAAGCCTCCATATTCTCCCACTACAGGCTTACATGGAGCTGAATCCGGCTGCTGCGGTTAGCAGTGATTCTTATAACAAGACCCCGGACTACCTACCACAAAATGAGAATTTTGGTGTAGGCTCAACAGGTTTTTTTTTTTCTTGTAACAAGAGTCTGCAGAGCAGTACTGAGGCAGGGTGCTGTGATGTGTTCAGGAAGCTATGTACAGCACACTGCGGGTCCCACCCACCAGCCATGATTTGCTTGCATTGCATAGAGAAGAACAGAAACCCAGCAATAACACCACCGGATCCAAATGATGATATTGTATTGAAAACTGAAAGATTTTATTTATTTAAAAATGTCATTAGCATGTTCATGGGGGGGGGGGGGTAGAAACCAAAATAGAAGCAGAATAAAACATCAGATTTAAAGAAATAAAAAAAAAACCAACATGTGGCAATTCAGTCCATTGGCTGCACTCAAAATGAAATGAGTTGTGCTGGAGAACACTGTGAATGGCAAAGGCTCAAAACAATTCCCTTTTTACCTAAGAAGAATAATTTAACCACACATCCACTGGAACAAGAGTGGGACACACCCCCCCCCCGATAACCACCCACCATAGATCTCTGTGCAGAAAGAAGAGGCCAGCAGCTTGTTCATTTATAATCAGCAGTCCGTGCACAAAGGAATTATCAATACATATCAAATATATTGCTCTGACGTCGGTTTGCTGTCAGTGTTCGGCGTCTATTCTTTTGTCTCCCTCCCTTCCACTCAGTGCTGGTCCCTCTACAGATCAGAGAAGTGTATTATGTACCTCCAATGCTGGTTATACATTGATGACCTGCTAGTCAGGTTTGTTTGTGTTCAGCAGGCACCAATAAAAGATTTTCAGGTACCCTCAAAAGTAAGTTCCTTCCCTGACTAACTAATGCTAGGGTTTCTTGAAGGGTTGGTTCATCTTTTCAGAAAAATCAAAAAGGTGATCCAACACTCTACACCCTCCCCACCACCACCCCCCTCGGTTCTTATCTACATGGGTGCGGAGCTGTCAGTGCTTACGCAGGTCATGGAGTGGTCCAGGGATTTGAATTCCCCCACTCTTCTCTCTGCAGGGCTTCTGGCATGGATCAGAGCGATGTTCTTTGCTGGCTTGGACCAATCAGAAATTGCTATGATCTGTCCCGGAAGCCCTGCAGAGAGAAGAGGGCGTAGTGCAGGGATTTCAAAATCGGGAGGACCGTGAGGAGGTGGTGGTGGGGGGTGTACTGTAAGTATTAGTCCACCTTTTCATTTTTTCTGTAACAGAGAACCAACCCAATAACTCTCATGTCCCAGTGTTGGCATCCTCTTGAAAATGGTGTGTTGTCTCCACCTCTATATCTGAGAGCAAGCAAGCTCCTCCCCTGAGGAACCAGTGCTGGAGATCTGCCTTGCTCTCCATTTGTTGTTCATATTCCATGGTTAGTTTTCCCTTAAGAGTTAAACCACACTTGATATGTGGCTTTAAAGGATAAGTTCACATTATGGAGCACGGTACCCATTTTTCGGGTGGACTTGGCCCCCACACCCCTGATTTCACCTTCCCTGTGACAGCAGAAGGGGGATCTTCCCCTACATCCACTGTCTCATTTTGAAAATAGCTTTTAATTCTTTTACAGCGATCTGTGAAAGAGAGAACTACAAGTACCATCAGCCATTGCAGCAGACAGCTTGTACTTCTCAATGGACTGCGAGGGCGCTGATGAGAGCTCTCATAGTTCATTCACAAGCCCTGCTGCATGTAAACAGTCAGCCCACAACAGAGGTAAGAGGCTGCAGGATCCTGACATTGCCCCCCTGATCCTCTGATCCTGGGTGCAATGCTTTGCAGGCTGCTGAGGGAAAAAAAATTTAAAAATAAAATAATAAAATGCGAATTTTTTTCCCTGCAAAAATACGTGCATTTATTATTTTTTTCCCCAAAATATGAACTTAGCCTTTAAATCAAAGCTAAAAGAAAAATTCTTTCATTTTCTATAAAATAATGAAGGGTTATAATCCCTGTCAGGTTTTGTTTTTTCCATCTGTGTCCCATTGGAGAGATCTCTCTTCACTTTCTGTCCGAAAACCAAAACAAAAAGTGGAAGGAAGTCCCCCTGCTAGTGTTCTGGTGTCAGTGATGGTAAACAGGACAAATAGAGGGCCAATCTCCCTAATCAGGGCACAGACAGGAATAAAAACCCGACGGGTTCTAATCTCTCTCCAAAACTTAAAAAAAAAAAAAAAAAAAAAGTTTCACCTTTAGTTATATATTAACATTTCCAACGGAGTCCTTTTTTTTTTTTTTGGTGGAGAGTCGAGTTATTAAAAGTGCTGACATGTCGGTACACCAAATGTAAAATAACTGACCTATGACTTAAAGTCTATCACACATATAAAAACACATTAAAAGCAAACAGTCCCAATTTCAGATGTCCTTGTTGCCATTTGCTGCAGTGCTTCCATGGCCTTCAAGGATTCGCACCCTCCAGTGAACTTTTAATAATTTTACAAGGAATTGCTGTGCAAAACTGCCGGTGTCTGTTATTAAAAAAAAATATTGTGTGTGTGAATTATAAAATATGATTAAAACATCTCATTTGTATTGTATTACCTAAAGAAAAAATGAACAAAAATAAATATTTTGGAGAAACCAAATTCCTGGAAGGTGAAAATTGAAAAGGTCACAAAGATGGAGGCTTGGCCCCCTTTCAAGTCCAGTTCCTCCGTCTGCTTGGTCAAAATCAGTCCATAAAACAAGGCGAGTCATCTGAGTGAGCAGGCAGAGAAGACACAGGTTGTCCCACCAGTGGGGAGCTTCTTCTGCTCGATGGATGACAACAAAGCACTGCATGTTCATAGCTCCACCTTGGACCAATCTTGGGGCTTCAAAGCCCGCAGCAGTTTATATGAGAACACTGGACACCGGCACCTTGGTGGAGCGCCCTCGTTTTGGGACCACAATTCTGTCTTCAGGACTGTCTGCATCTGTTACGAGGCCTGAGAGGGAAAAAACACAAGAAACAACTAATTATCACTGTCAGCCTGGCCAGGGCCATGGATAAGGGGGTACCACCAGTCCTCCTGTAGGGGGCCCAGGCCAGCAGGGGAGCCCAGGCAGATGGGTGAATCACATGTAGGCAGGGAGAGTGATCGGAACCGTGATTACTGGAACCGATCCCTTGTTTTGCTCCTTCTACAGCAGCTGAAAAGCTGGCTTCTTCTCTTCTCCCTCCCGTCAACTTTCAACTGCTGCAGAGAGCCATAAAGGGGGATCGGTTCCAGTAATTGCCCCAAATCACCCTCCTTGTGCACCATATGTTTACCCCTGCTGCCCAGGCCCCCTGTGTGCCCCAACCCCGGCAGTGCTACCAGCTACCCTCCTTTCCACTGGCAGCTGCAGGAAATAGGATCCTTCAGGATGCAGAGTGGGGGAAGGTTCCAGTAAATATGTCACTTTTACCAGCCCCTTCCTTTCCAGAATGAACACAACGAGCGATCGGTATTGATCTCTCACGGTGTTCATTCATATTTTTATTTATTTTTTTACTTTTTTTTGGGGGGGGGGGGGGGAGGGGCGGGGGGGGGAGGGGGGGGGGGGGGGGGGGGGGGGGGGAGGGGTTTACTTTTTTTTGGGGGGGGGGGGGGGGGGGGGGGGCGTGGTTTCTAACAGCAGCCATGAGCCTGGCCAATGTAGTAGCATGTAGAGCAGACTGCCAAACACTTTGCCTGAGGACTGCAGCCTCTTTCCTGGGGAATCATTTTCAAAGGGTCAGTCATATCCAATAGGGAGACAAGAGGAAGAGGAAAGGCTGGGTCACAGTGAAAACCACTAAAACATTGGGTTGGGTTTGGTTTCTGCAATACAGCACCCTGAGATTTTAAACTAAAAGGAAAATGTAGAAATTAGGCCGCACTGCATTCCTGCTGCCAGATTGCTATAGGTACAAATGCGTTTTGATCTGCATTGGGGGTTCTAAGCTGATATACAGTATACTTTTATTATCTCACAAGCATTTAGTAGAAGAGCACCCCTGACACCCATCTGCAAATGGTACGTGGCTCTCTAATGAGGAACCCAATCCAAACACGTTTGACTGCGCACAGTACATCTAGTGAACCCATCTGATCAAAATTCGCTTATGTATAAAACACGGTGCAAAAATATATACACACAACTGTTCAACTGATCAGATAGTGGCCACGCTGCTGCTCTTCAGCTGGACTCACCAGCTATAGCAAGATATTCTAGAAATCAAGGATAGAGCTGAGCTATGTGATCTAATAAAGTGCTATGTGCTTGCTGTGATCATCAGAATACAATCAACATTTCATGTGCTGCATCTTCATCATAAAACAAGAAATGTGTGCGGATGCCTACCAACGTATAACATACATCACTTTGCAAACAAAAATAAAAAAATTACTCAAAATAAAAACAATCAAAATTATCCTGTGCTAATTCATATATGTGAACCAAGTCCTGATGAGGTGACTATTGTAAACAAATATGTCAATCAACAAGTAAATATATATATATATATATATATTTTACAAATATATATATAAATAAAAAAAAATAAATAAATAATTTATATTTATATATATATATATATATATATATATATATATATATATATTTTTTTTTTTTATTCTGCCCCTGGAAGACGTTCAATGACAAAACGCGTAGGGCGGGGTTTGCATGTGACGTCACCACGCACACTGAAACTCAGAAGTCGCGGCCACTAACTCTGGTCGGAGGGAACCAGTTTTTTGAGAGTACACAGTTCATAGTTGTGTCAGTGGAGACACATTATCATGCGACTGTCATTTTAAATAAAGGAAATATGGTTCTAAAAAGGTTGGATGCCATGTGAGTTTTTCTCTCCTCTTCCCGGGATACAAAACATTTTCTATGGTCAAGAGAGTACTTTGATGAGATTGCTGGGTCGGCAGGATATTACTCCCTGAGGGATTGCAGTTTTTGGTGATTGGTGGAAGTATGAAGCATTAAAGCAGAGCTCCACCCAAAAGGGGACGTTCCACTTTAGGTCTTTGTCCGCCGTTTCCCATTAAGGATTGGCACCTTGGGGGGGAACGAGTACCTGAATTTTACAGGTACCCGCTCCCACTTCCGCTGCGATCGCCTAAGTGATCAGAAGTGGAAGTTGTCCTCCCCTCCTCCCTCCCCGTAGTCTTCTGGGATATGTGACAGATCCTAGAAGACTACGGGACCATTCACAAAGCACAGCGCTTCTTGCGCATGCGCAGTGGGCACGCGGCTGTGAAGCCGCAGGCTGTCACAGCCGCGTGCCCACACTGAAGATGCCGGGGAGAGAAAACGGCCTGTGAAACCAGCCGTGGTGAGGACACCACTGGACTAAGGGAGAGGTAGGTTTCTGTATTTTAAAAGTCAGCAGCTACAGTCTTTATAGCTGCTGACTTTTTTTTTTTTTTCAGCTGGAACTCCACTTTAATCTGCAGATACATAAACAATGTCGCCCACACTCCCCCATATCTCCTGATGGGGAAGTACAGGAGTTCTGCAGCCATCCTGCTCCTCCAGTCCAGCTGAACCCTCTCCTCACCTCACATTCTTGGAGCCAATGCTCCAGGCTGACCCGCCCACTGTCTGTCCAGCCCCTTCACCCTCCAGTTGTACCATCACTACGGCACAAGAGCAGCTGGAGCATGTTGACCACAAAGGAGGTAAGGGGGGAGGCATTATCACTGGTTGTTAAGCACGCAGGCAGGTTCCTGCTCCTTAACAACAAACGAATATCCAGTTGTTATGGAGCCATCACCCGACTGCATCCCTAACAACCAGCTACTCACACATCTGCGCTGTAATGTGTGCATTAAAACGCATAGTACGTATTAGAAGCACTTCAGTGTGAAAACAGCCTTAATTAGCAACAATTTACAGGCCAACCTTGAGAAAGCAACTCCGCCCGCTTTCGGTCCTTCTCGATGAAAAGCGCAGTGGCCAGGAAGAAAGCTCCACCAATTGCCCCTACGAATGAGCACAGCATGAGCGCATACTCCAGGCTGCGGAACTTCAGGAGGAAGGAGTCTGGCTTACCACGTTGTACCGCATCGGATATCTGGAGTATAAAGACAGACTGATGAGTGATGGAGACTGGTCACACGACCATTTAGGATATAAAGTGACATAAAGCTACTACTTACCACCCCAATGAGGTAGGGGCTCCCGGCATCACCTAGTAAGTGGGATACCATGATCTGCAAGGCCTCGGCTGTGGAACGCCTGGTGGGGATCACTACATACTGCAAGAAGGAGCGGAGGTCAGGAAAAAGGAGAGTCTTGGGTTAAGCTTCAAGCAATTATAAATGTCTACGAGGTTTGCAAATGTTCCTGTACTGTGTAATGGTTTGTAAACAACTGTTTTAGGGCTCATGTACACGGGACGTTTGGAAAACACTTCTGAACGATGGAAACTGACTGCTGGAAAACGTAGGTTAAGAAACGTCTGTTTAGCCGCATTTATGCGCGTTTGCGTTTAGAAGCATTTTTTAAAGATAACCTCAGGAGACCTTCCCAAATGCCCAGAATGCACTGAAAAATAGTAAAAAATTAACTATTTCAGACATTTTGAGAGGAATAGAGAGAGCAGTATGTGTGGAGATGACCGGTCTTTTCTGGTTGTATTCACTATGAATCCCATCATGAGCATAATGCGGCGCGTTCTACCATTGTTTCCTTCACGCGAAACCTGGACCTGACTGCGCTGGTGTACCGGGTCCATTTGAATACATGGAAAACGCTTTGCATGCATTTCAGATAATGAAAAAAAGGCTCTGGACAGCATCTGGACATGGAACAGTTAAAAAACACTTCTAAATGCAAACGCTTATAAACGCGGTTAGCCACGTTTACATGCGTTTGAAAAACTGATAAAATCTACTCCTGAACGCAATTTTGGTGCGTTCAAAAAAACGACAGTAAACTCAACTGCCTGTTAATGACGATGTGTACATGGACACACAGGAGAACATTAGGGAGAGTTCAGGGGCTGATGAGAAAACACAGAAAAGCTCCCAAATGTGAGTTTAGCAGCTGCAGTGTACATGAGCCCTTAATCTAGACCCAAATACACTGTGAAATAGCTGCCCTCCTATACTGTTTAATACAATGAGATCTATAAAAGATTGAATGTGTGTAGACAACATCTCCACATACGTCCCGGCTGACTGAGCTCAGCAGTAGAGACAGTCGGCTTAAATGGATTGTTCCAAGTCTCCCGTGAGACAAGCATGGTGTCGGAGAGGTTTGCTTACTACATGAGAACACACAAAAGACGCAGGATCATGGATGTCAGCTCGTGCCTATGCGTGCCTATTTAAGGTGATCATGTGTCAATGTGACAGGAAGACACACCTATTCACCCAAACAATCCAGGCACTGAGGCTTTAAAATGTAATTGCACCTTGGTTGCATAAAAACGTATACTGTCCAAACCTCGACCTCTTCCCCTGCAAGTCTTATACTTGCCTGTTTTTTGAGCTGCACCTGGACATGCACAGTAACCCCCCATGCAATCCTTTGGGAAGTTCTTACTCTCCTCGGTAGACTTCCACAAGCGGCTTGGCAACTGAGTGGGATAAATCTCACTGTATCAGGGACAGGCATGTATAACACTTACAGAGGGTGTGGGTCTGTACAAGAAGCAGGTGCAGTTCGACTTCATGGAACTGGGGCCAAGCTATGGACATTCAAACATTTACATGTAAAGCAGTAATTTTGCTTTAAACAAGGCATCACTGATCCATTTAGTTACAGGCATTACGGAGCAATACATCCTTAAAGCCCCCTAAGTCAGGTGCCCGCACTCTGCTCTACCCCTTCTTCATGTGCTCCCTTAGAGTTTACATTTGAGATCAGAATAAAATCAACACTTGGGAGGATGGGGGCATAGGGAGCTGAACTGCTGAATCACAACTAGGGGAGGGGTAGCTGCGGAGCTACTGCTGGGAGGAGGGGAGCAGAATTGCCAAGTCATTATTTGGAGGAAGGATGGAGGGCAGGGTGAGCTGAGCAACTGATTTACTGCTGGGAGGGGGGAGCAGAATTGCCAAGTCAATATTTGGAGGAAGGATGGAGGGCAGGGTGAGCTACATTGTTACATAGTTAGTCTGGCTGAAAAAAGACAAGTCCATCCAGTTCAACCAGAGCAACCGATTTCCTGCTGGGAGGGGGGGAGCAGAATTGCCAAGTCAATATTTGGAGGAAGGATGGAGGGCAGGGTGAGCTGAGCAACTGATTTCCTGCTGGGAGGGGGGGAGCAGAATTGCCAAGTGATTATTTGGAGGAAGGATGGAGGGCAGGGTGAGCTGAGCAACTGATTTACTGCTGGGAGGGGAAGCCAGCGGGAGGAGCAGAGTCACTGCTATAAGGGGAAAGACGAACTGCTAAAGTTACATTGAAAGTGCATATACTGTACATTTTGAGGATGAATAACTTCAAAGTGTCTGCAGCTACAGAGGTCAGTGAGGTCTGGTTTTAAAGTCTATTTACTTCTTGTTATAAAATATGTAGACATTTCATTGTCCATAGCTTGGTCAAAGTGTGACTTTAAAGCAAACGGAGGACTGAAAAACATTGCATCGGGAACAGCAGCTAAACTCACGTGGCCATCACTCACAGTAAGATATCAGCGACGATGGCCTTAAAGCCCCCTAAGTCAGGTGCCAGCACTCTGCTCTACCCCTTCTTCATGTGCTCCCTTAGAGTTTAAATTTGAAATTAGAATAAAGCCAACACTTGGAGGATGGGGGGATAGGAAGCTGAACTGCTGAGTCACAACTAGGGGAGGGGTAGCTGTGGAGCTACTGCTGGAGGGGGGAGCAGAAATGCCAAGTCATTATTTGAAGGAAGGATGGAGGGCAGGGTGAGCTGAGCAACTGATTTCCTGCTGGGAGGGGAAGCCAGCGGGAGGAGTAGAGTCACTGCTATAAGGGGAAAACTGAACTGCTGAAATTAAATTGAAAGAGAATATGTTGTACATTTTGAGGATGAATAGCTTCAAAGTGTCTGCAGCTACAGAGGTCAGTGAGGTCTGGTTTTAAAGTCTATATGCTTCTTGTTATAAATATGTAGACATTTCATTGTCCATAGTTTGGCCAAAGTGTGATTTAAAGCAAACTGAGGACTGAAAAACATTGCAGCGGGAACAGCAGCTAAACTCACGTGGCCATCACTCACCAGTAAGATATCAGCGACGATGGCCCAGTTCAGGGACAGAAGAGTTTCTCCAATGAATATAAATATCTGTGGAGTGAGAGGACCAGACAGTCAGAAAGCAGCTAGAAATAAAGCAAGGATAGTAACATTCTGCTATTAGAGCAGAATATGAAAACTGTCAGCGGCAGCATTAGAATCAGAGCTCTTTGCTGTTATATGAGATTACACCATAATATATTTATAACAATCACAAGGTTGTCTATTTCCTGGCCAATGAACAATACTTTCTGCACATTGTAGGGTTACTTACATAGGTGGCCACAAGGCTTGATTCTGCAAAGACCAGGGAGAGGAACAGGAAAGGGGCGGAGCCAAGAAGCCCGCAGGCACAGACTATAGGGTCGCCGCGAGGGTTTATTTTACGATAGCGTTTACTAATTTCCACTCCGGATGCGACACCCAACAGCCCGGTCACCACTGTGATGCCCCCAAAGAGAAAGCTGTGAAGACAATAAAAGGTGACCGTTGTATAAACAAATAAATTGAATCTACAAATCTTCTGTACAGGATTTAGGAGGAAGATGCTTCTTTACCTGTCTTTATAGTTACATATAGGTTGGTCACACTGCTGATCCTCGTACAGTACAGCCCGAGCCCGCATCAGGTAGGTGGGGGCCCAGAGAGCAAGGGCACCAGTGACAAACGCCACGGTGGTGAATCCGAGCGTGGACAGCACAAAGCTACGGCTGAAAGAAAACAAGTGAGGGATGAAAAGAAGATTACTAGGAGGGGAACATATTCAGATGCACATATCAAACTCTATTCTTACATCATCTCTGTCCTCTAAAGCCATTTTTATCCTTCATGTCAGTGGTTCTCAATTACCCTTTCCACCTCCCTTCTGTCGGATCACAAGGAAAGCTGCAGTGTCCCCTCCCTGTTCTCAGGCAGGGCAGCGGGCACCCTGTGCTGGAAAGATGAGTGTTACAGCACCAGGTATTGCTCCATTACGTATCACAAGGAGGTGCTGTAAATTAATGCTTCCCTCAATGCAGATCAGCAGTGCCCTCTACTCTCCTACAGTGGCCTGCAGGGCTTCCCAACCTCCCACAAGGCAGCCCAGCCCCCTGCAGTGACCCCCAGCCTGATACAGAGCCTTCAGCTCCCATAGTGCCCCCAAAATGCCCCTCAACCTCCACAGTGCCCTCCAGTCTCCAGTGACCCCCAACCTGCCACAGGGCTGACTTGCCTGCTGCAGAGCCTCCAGCCCCCAAACTCCAACAGTGTCCCACAATGCCACACACACCCGATGTTCCCTCTAGTCTCCTGCAGTTCTCTCACAAAGCCCCCAGATCCTTGGAGAGATCTCCAGCTTCCCCATTCAGAACCTTCATACCCTACAGGGCTGCAGTCTGCTGCTGAGTCCCCTAACTCCCATTACCCCCGGAGCAACACCCAGCCTCGTTCAAAACTTCCAGCTCCCTATATTTTCCACCCACTGTTATGGCCTGGCCATCCTTTCCTCCTATTGATCACTTATGCTGGAGAGTTCTTCCTCCTACTGATCACCAAACACCAGGTTTGTATTTTTTTGGAGCATAGAAGGTTGAGGAAGAATCTACCAGAGACTGGGGTTGACCACCAATGATCTATGTAACCATTAACTTCCACTGCTGGCCTGTCCTAAAAAGGTACAGATTCCAGGGCGTGACCTCGACCCTAAAGATAAGTCACCATTTACACCTTCCATATTCTATAAGCTCAGATCTTCTTGAAAATTCCATCCCACAGTTTTCAATTTTTGTAAGTCAGACTAATAGTTTGAGCCTCTGCCAGAGCAAGGCTGGAATTCGATTCTGTCCACAGGTAAGCTTTAATGATAGCCGAAGTATGTTCAGCTGTGCCGGAGGATTTAACAAACATAATATATAAATTTACATAGTCTAGCAGGCACATTCCAAAGCCTAAACATTGGCCTTCAGAATGCTCTACTAGATGAAAATCCATCTACCCTGGTCGCTGGCCCTAACCCACCCCCTCCTGTCCCTCTAGAGCAGCCAACCACTGTGCTGAACAGCCTCAAGAACCAATGGTGGTGCACGGAAGGCAGGAGAGGGGTCATCAAAGCTTGCGGCTAGAAAGCTGGCTGCTATTGGTATATTAAATTATTTTGTGGTGGTCAAAGCTGACATCTGGGTACCTGTATATTATCAATTTTAAGCACCTAAATTTGCTTTAAAATGGTTGTAAAGGCTCAAGGTTTATTTACCATCATGTATTCTATGCAAGAAGGTCAAAACCTTCAGTGTGTAGCAACCCCCTTCCCCCCCTTTCCCCCCCCCAAGACTTACCTGAGGCCCATCTCGATCCAGCAAGGTGCACAAGAGCCTCAGCTGTCCCGGGTCTCTCACTCCTCATTCGCTCAGACAGCAGCGGGAGCCATTGGCTCCTGCTACTGTCAATCACAGCTAGTGAGCCAATGAGGAGAGAATGGGGGGTGGGGCCAAGCCTTGGCTGTGTGTGATTGAACACAGAGCAGCGACTCAGGAGTGAGCCTGCTCAGCTGCCCCCATACCAAGCTGCTTGTTTTGGAGGCACTTGACAGGAGGTAAGGGATCAGGAGAAGAGGATTGGGGCTGCTATGTGCAAAACCACTGCACAGAGCAAGTAATGATATGCTTGTCATTTGGAAAGAAAAAAAATAAAAAATCTGCCTTTGCAATCACTTTAATACAAGGTAGAATGTCACCAGCACAACTAGGATCACCAATACGGGTCCAAAAATTTTAATGAACGATCACATAGTTACAGCAAGGCAACATTTCAGCGTCTCGCAGGACCCCTTCATCATTCCTGATGAAGGGGTCCTGCGAGTCTCCGAAACGTTGCCTTGCTGTCACTATGTGATCGTTCATTAAAACTTTTGGACCCATATTGGTGATCCTAGGTGTGCTGGTGACATTCTCCCTTGCTGATTCTGTTCGGTTCCAGCCGACGGTCGCTGCATCACCCACTTATACACACAGCCATCTTTAACGCAGAAACGTGTGTTTGGATTGTACATTCACTTTAATACAAGACACAAAATACTGTCTTTCTAAAGCAAACTTCTGTCTTGGAAGGAAAGAGAATCCCTAATGCACACCAAGATAAATAATGCAGCTAGGCAATACTCACTTTTTCAGCAGCTCCTTGACATCAGACCCCCATGAAGTGTGGGTGAGGGATCTTTCAGATTTCCTTTCCACGGCACCCCTAGGAGGCTCCTTCACAAAAAAGATCAGCAGCAGAACAGCGATAAGGCCCAGTCCTGGGGTGACCTGAAAATACCAAGAAACAGCAAACATTGGCCACAAGAAAAGTCATGCTACATTTATCAGCCACTCACTGATCAGGATACATTGCAAATCTGTAGAATTAATGTGCAGCTAGAGCCAAATCAATGCTGTCCTGAGCAGTCATTCATTTCCACCACTTGACATTACCAACATCATTCAACCTACGTTTCTGAGCCCAGATTGTTATGGACACATATCTTAGTTTAGGCTAGAAAGGATTAGAACCTCTGTCAGATTTTACAGCTATCCACGGTACCTTTAAAGAGATTTCCCCTCGCCTTCTAATCTGGGAAGAATCTTTTACCAGGCAGAAGAAGATGAAAAAATCGACAGGATGTCAGCCACTCAGCACAGGCGCCAATCCGGGAATGCTTTGTATTTCCTGAATGAATGCAAAAGCTGTTCTGACTTGACAGCATGATGTCACCACCCCACCTTTTCCAATCATAGAACCCTTTGCATTCATTCAGAAAAAGTAAAACATTGTCTGACTGGCGTCTGTACTTTGCGTCCAACCTCCTATATTCACAATGCATCAAGCTGGTCGCTCAGCATGGAACCCACAAGCAAGTACAGATCACTACAGTAGTTGTGTCTACTTCAGTGATTTCCAGGCGCATCGGCCAGGTATGGTACATTCTGTACACAGATATCCTAGGTTCACATCTGTGTGGGTGGTGCCGCTGTGGATCCGCACAAAAATTCGTGCAGCCGCACCAACCGCACAGAGAAATGCGGACCCGCGGGCGGGTGCCACTAGTTCTAATGACACGCCGCCCGCACTGGAAAACACAACCGTACTGGGAACCTCGGCTGCGTTTTCCAAGGAAGTGCAGGGACTTCTTTCCCTGTGTGTCATGGGTACTGGAGTCCATTCAAATGAACGGCCTCTCGTGCCCATGCAAAACGCGGCCCGCAGGACCACATAGGTGTGAACCGGGGGTCACATTGGTTCAAGCTGAATGTATAAGATATCCATACCTGGAATCCATCTGTAAAGCTGAACTCCAGGCCAAATAGATTAAAAAAAACATTAAAAAGGAGTAGTGGTACGACCTACCAAAAAAATGTGTATTTCTGTCCATCCAGTAATGAAACCGACACAGCTCTGCCACACAGCACATCCTTGGACTTTATAAGCGATATCACTAAAATAGTTACCTGTTTATCCTATACATTGGGCCCAATATAACTGAATAGTGCATTCAAAAACACAAAAAGGCATAGGGGGAAGGGGTCTGTATAGCTGTGGGAATACATAAGTTTTTGATGTGGATTTTCACTCTCTCAATCAACAGTGACTATACTAAATCCTTATGCTGCTAGTGTTAATAAATAGATAGGAAAGTAGATCATATTTACTTGTTTTACATTGATTTTTACATTTCTTTAGTTACTTCCTGGTTTCCATGCCTAGGCAAATGATGTCATACATCCCAGGAGTCTGCAGGAGGGGTTTTCTCAGCTAAGCACACTCTCCTACCTGCATGTCTGAGCTAAGGGCAGAAAGACTTCAGGAAGTAAAAGCTACATAAATCATCTGCCCTTACTCAAGGTGGCCATGACCAGAAATGCTAGGGGGTGTTTTTTCATTTCAATTTGATTTCTCAGCAAAATAAACACGGGAGACGTGGATGGATTGGGGGAGTTTGCTTTGAATAATAAAAATGAATTAACCCCTTGCCTACCGGGCACTTATACCCCCTTTGTGCCCAAGCTAATATTCAGCGCTGTCACATTTTGGGTGACAATTGCACGGTCATGCAACACTGCACCCATATGAAAGTTTTATCATTTTTTTCACACAAAAAGAGCTCTTTTGGTGGTATGTACTCGCTGCTGAGTGTTTTATTTTTTGCGCTGTAAACAAAAAAAAAAGCAAAATTTGTGAAAAAAAAAGTGTTTTTTTCTTTGTTTCTATGATAGAATTTTACAAACAGGGAATTTTTCTCCTTCACTGATGTGTGTTGATAGGCAGCACTGATAGGCAGCACTGATAGGCAGCACTAATGGGTAGCACTGCTGGGCACAGGTGGGTAGCACTGATGAGCACCGATCAGGGCACTGATGATCGCTGCTGATCCCTCCTCTGACAATAACGGAGATCGGCAGTACTTTCCTCATGCTGTGACAGTGTGAGGAAAGTGCAGCCGATAACCGGCAACTGTATTAACTCTGATCTGCTGTGTCATTGGACACGGCTGATCACATGGTAAAAGGCCGCTGTGACTGGCCTTTTACCACATCACATGATCAGCTTTGTAAACAGGACACAGCGATCATGGAGATTGCCGGGGGCGCGCGGGAGGACGTCATATGACTCCTAGAACTGGCCAGCCGCAGTGAAGCGGTCGTTCGGCTATCTGCGGTCGGTAAGTGGTTCAATAGCGGTTTTGGTTTGTGGTGCTCAGATACAGTGTAGTTCCGCTTTGATATCAATAGTAACTATGCTGCTCCAGTCTTGCCTCTCTCCTTATACCTCCAGCTCCCATCAGTGGCACGCCCAACAGCGAATCTCCACCCATTACTGCGGAAATCAAGTAAAAATGAGTGGGCTGCATTAAGATGCCATCACCGATGTAAAATCAGCTTTGTTATAATAGAGGATTCACAACGTATAGTCCCTGTTCCCAGGACAAGCAAGACTATAGGATGTGAATCCTCTATTATATAAAAGCTGGTTTTACATTGATGACAGAATCACTATGTTTTTATTGTTATATTATTTGTAATAAAAGATTTTCTTTAAATCTGTCTGGTAGTAAATAAATAACGTGTAATCATTGATTTGTTTGAATGCATACTGTAATGTATCGTACTAAGAGTAAATGTGTTTGTTTTCCCAGAAACAGCGAAGGGTACAAAGTTTGAAACCTTTCTGGTGAACATTGACCGCAGAACCCTTCCCGAGATTCTTCAACTCACCCGTAGCGCCCAGTGCCAGTCTCCACCTGCTGTTTTGGTCACCTGGGATCCTGCAATGTAGCCGAGGCCACTGTGCAAAAATGTAAATTAGAACTTTTTGTTTTACACCAATAAATACATCATAATAAAACAGGAAGACCAGTATATACAGTTGTAAATCCTAAAAAAATTAAATTCTCTTCTATGGTCAGTTAAATGTACTACTGAAAGCGTTTGGTTAAGTCTGCTGATAAACGCAAAAAAATACCTGGTGATATCCAGAACTTACAAATTCCTTTGCTCCCCGTCTCTGCTGTACTCTATCACTTAGCCCTCATGCATGCGGGACGTTTTTACAGCGGCTGTTTTTGGCTTTTGACGTTCTTTTCTACAGCCAGTAAACCCCCCAGCATGCTATCCTGTGTCCATACACACACAGACTGGAATCAGCGTTTTTTGGCTGGAAAAAACCCAGGACTAGTGGGTTTCTAGTTTTTTTAGCTGAAAAACGCGGAATAACGCCGCAAACCGGAGTTGTTGGACTTTTTTTTTAGCAGAAAAACACTAAAAAACACAAACATGGACAACCGCCGCTAATCGCCGCAAAACGCTAATGCAAAAATGCTAAAAAAAAAATAGAAAAACTCACGTTTTTAACATGCCTTTACACAGTTAATGTTACCAGCACTATCAAGGCGCCCCGTGTGCATGAGGGCTAAAAGTATAACTAAGTTTTGATGGATTAGAACACCTGCCAGGTTTTATTGCTGCCTCTGTCCTCATTAGGGAGATTCCCCCTCTCTATTTGTCTTGGTTACCGTGATCACTGAAAGTGAAAGTAAAAAAAAAAACCCCAAATTTTGAGTTGTCTCCAGAAAAGTAATAGAGAGGAGATCATGGGGACACTAGTTCTGGTGACCTGGTTTTCCCCAAGGATTTCCCTTAATTTGCAGGGATTTCCTCTTACTTCCTGTTTGGCTATGGGACAGGAAGTGAAGGGAAATCTCTGCAATGGGACACAAATGGTGAAAAAAAAAAAATATATGAAAAGGGGTTATAGCCCTCCCTTTACTCTATCCAGAATGAAAAAAAAATGTTTTGCCTAGAATTCTACTTTAACATTATTCTCTTAGATTGTAAGCTGCCAGGATCAGGCCCTCCTAACCCTCTTGTCTTGAACTGTATCGTCTCCTTTATATTGTAAAGCGCTGAGCAAACTGTTGGCGCCATAAATCCTGTATAATAATTATAATTTCCAGTTTATTTCTGTGAACTAAAGAACACCTGCACACTAAGTTTTGGAGAGAAGGGAGGTGTACTGTAGTGCTAAACCACTGCCTGTCTCTTCAACAATGCTGCTCCTCCATAGGTACAATACAGTTACTGAAACGCTCACTAGATGAAAATGAAGGAGAGGTCGACTAAATCACAGCGGACAGCGGGGTTTTGTCATTTGTGTTGTGAGTGGCTCTTTATTCTGCCTTGGGATTGTATTTTCCCTGTACTGGTTTGGAATTTGCACATGCTTGTATCGCATTTGATATCTGTCTTTTGTACATTGTTTATATGGATATGATACCTGACTTCTGCTGTAAAAAACCAAGCAAAAAAAAGAAAAAGGAGAGGAGAGGAAGCCTTAAAGGAAAAACAAACGAATGCCGTCATCTCATCCAAGGTCTGCTAAGTTGAAATATAAAATGTCTGTTCTTGGGTTTAAACCAAAGTGCATTTATCCGTATTGACTCCTTCCCTTGATATAACCTAACCCCACCTCCCCCTGCACAGATGCATGCGTACCCGGATCGGGTAGCTGTGGGCCAGTGTAGGTTTGCATCTCCAGGTACTCCAAACACATGCTGGGAGGTGAATTGGATCCTGTCTAAATTGTCCCTAGTATGTGTTTGTATGAATGTGAGTTAGGGACCTTAGATTGTACATCCCTTGAGGGTTAGGGACCTTAGATTGTACGCCCCTCGAGGGTTAGGGACCTTAGATTGTACGCCCCTCGAGGGTTAGGGACCTTAGATTGTACGCCCCTTGAGGGTTAGGGACCTTAGATTGTACGCCCCTTGAGGGTTAGGGACCTTAGACTGTACGCCCCTCGAGGGTTAGGGACCTTAGATTGTACGCCCCTCGAGGGTTAGGGACCTTAGATTGTACGCCCCTCGAGGGTTAGGGACCTTAGATTGTACGCCCCTCGAGGGTTAGGGACCTTAGATTGTACGCCCCTCGAGGGTTAGGGACCTTAGATTGTACGCCCCTCGAGGGTTAGGGACCTTAGACTGTACGCCCCTCGAGGGTTAGGGACCTTAGACTGTACGCCCCTTGAGGGTTAGGGACCTTAGACTGTACGCCCCTTGAGGGTTAGGGACCTTAGACTGTACGCCCCTTGAGGGTTAGGGACCTTAGACTGTACGCCCCTTGAGGGTTAGGGACCTTAGATTGTACGCCCCTTGAGGGTTAGGGACCTTAGATTGTACACCCCTTGAGGGTTAGGGACCTTAGATTGTACACCCCTTGAGGGTTAGGGACCTTAGATTGTACGGCCCTTGAGGGTTAGGGACCTTAGATTGTACGCCCCTTGAGGGTTAGGGACCTTAGATTGTACGCCCCTTGAGGGTTAGGGACCTTAGATTGTACGCCCCTTGAGGGTTAGGGACCTTAGATTTTACGCCCCTTGAGGGTTAGGGACCTTAGATTTTACGCCCCTTGAGGGTTAGGGACCTTAGATTGTACGCCCCTTGAGGGTTAGGGACCGATGTGAATGTACAATATATATGTAAAGTGCTGTGTAAATTGATGGCGCTATAGAAGTACCTGTAATAAATGAATAAAAATCCAGTGTGGCAAGTGTTTGTTGTCCTGGCTGCAGCTGCACATTACATAGCTTTCTACTAAACTGTCGGATGTTCTGTGACCCCAGGATACATGGGCAGACAGAAGACTTGAGGTGCTGGATGTAAACAAAAAAAGAGGACCTGAGCCCACCAAATGGAGACAAGTATACATGAAGGGAGGCTAAGTTAGGACAGGAGGAGGGTGCACTTTCTTTTAAAGTATACTTATCCTTTCACGTAAGCCCCTTGTAAACATCCCTAGTAGCCATTGTACTTTCTCGAAGATGAAGCTGATTGAGTGTTCCTAAAATACTTAACTAGAGCCAAAACAGAATTTCACAATCCGCTCTCCTCCTCCCCCGCCCCTGGGGTGTACAGTACACAGACTCACCAGCCAACGGGGATGGCGAAGTAGAAAAAGGAGAGCATTCGGCTGCGCTGGTCGGCCACGAAGAGGTCGGCGATGATGGTGGGGGCGATAGTGGAATAACTGGCTTCTCCAACTCCAACCAGGCCTCGTGTGAAAAGGAACAAGGGGTAATACTGTGAGGAGGAAGGGAAAAGGCACCATTGAGAAGGACCACAGCCAGAAAACATCATCGCACTTCACAGGGAGCTAATCTGAAGAATATATATTTTTTTAAATATCTTATTTTTTTTTTAAATATATTCTTCAGATTTTTTTTTAACATATAAAAAAGTAATTTTAACATATATTTTTACATATATTTGTAAACGCATTCCAAAAATGTAGATTTGTATTTTTAAAGACACAGTATATTTGAAATGTATTTTTAAAAATATTTTTCATATATTTTGTAATAAAAACGCATTTCAACATACAGTATACATATACACACACACACACACACACACACACACACACACACACACACACAGTTTCACCTGTATATATATTTATTGAAATATATTGAATATTTGAATATGGACAAAATTGTAGTATTTCAAATCTATATCATATTTGGGAAGAATATTTTTAAAATATATTTCTCTTCCATATGGGTATGTACACCCCAGTAACGCATAGTGAGCATATAGTTCATATTACTAGAAGCACTGCATTCCCACATTGCATGCCCTGTGAAGAGGTTTGAATAGTGGCGGGCAGCAGAGCTTACCTCTTTGGGTATGAAGGAGCTGCAGAGGGTGACAATAGACCAAAAGGAAATCCCAAAACACATTATGTATTTCCTGTTGTGGCGGTCACCAAGATAACCAAATACAGGCGCCAGCACCATATAACTGACAATAAATACTAGAGAGGGAACAAGAGAAGATTTATCATACAACAGGAAATAAATATAAAAAAATATATTATATACACATTATTTACAGTAATTGGAGAAAGGAAAAACTTCACATAACAGCTATCCTTGTATGTATAGCCAACAGCTCTCTTAGTTTCACATGGAGTAAGGAAGGGAATAAACTCCTAGCAGGCTTTTGCTGTATGTGCCTTGCTGAGGAGATTTCTCAACATTTCCTGTATTGGAAGAACAGGAAGTTAGATGAAATCTCCCTAAAGTGAATGAGATTTCCCTTGTCTTTCATTTTGTTCTGGTAACAACTCTAAAATTTTGGATTCTCCATCACTTTCTCTCCTGGTGACAACGGTCAGCAGGACAATTGGAGGGGCGAATTTCCCGAGTGGGGAGGGAAACCCTCCAGCCTGGTGTACCACCTTCTCTTCCCATCCTAATTCTTCCCTTGCCTCCCTTCCATGTGAGTGTTGTATTGTCTCCTCCCTCTTTTCTTTTTTCATTGGCGCCTTGAGGACCACACTTATGTATTGTAAGCTGGAAAGAGCAGGGCCCTCGATCCCCTCATGTTTTGCATTGTATTGGTATTGTTCTGTCACATGTTCTGTCCCCCTTTGTAATGTACAGCGCTGAGCGAACTATTGGCGCTTTATAAATACTGTATAATAATAATAATGCATGATGCCTGCTGCCTCAGGGCGCTGCGGGGATGCCTGCTCCCTTTGGGCGCTGCGGGGACAGACCAAATATTTGACTTTTTTATTGTTCTAGAATACACACAGAAACATAGGATAAACAGAAAAAAAAAACTGAAGAAAACCTACATATGAAACACAGAATAATAAAACAAAATGTATCAGAGAGAGCTGTGAAAATGTGGAATAAACTCCCTCAAGAGTTGGTTGTGGCCAGCTCAGTGGATTGCTGTAGGAAAGTCCTGGATTCTTTCTTGGATACACAGAATATAACTGGATATAACATTTATAGGTAAAGTTGATCCAGGGAATATCCGATTGCCTCTCGGGGGATCAGAAAGAATTTGTTTTCCCTGCAGAAGCAAATTGGATCGTGCTTTGCTGGTTTTTTTTGCCTTCCTCTGGATCAACTGTGGATGTAGGATTAGAACTTCTTTTTTTTTTCCTTTTATGGTCGAATTGGATGGACTTTTGTCTTTTTTCAGCCAGACCAACTATGTAACACGTCACACTTTCCTCAATAATGTGAGTTTGCACTACCTGTCTGTACCAATCCGGATTGGCTGTCTTGGATCTCAAAGGCGGCCTCAATATTAGGAAGCACTCCTGTAGGAGAAAGAACACAGAGGATGATTACACCAGAGCGAACGGCTCAAAGGCTTCTCCAAGATTTTCCTGTAAGTTCCAGCATTTACAGACCAATATCACCTACATTACATTCGTCTTACATCTGATAATAAAAATGAATGAATCAGAAGAGTGATTTATCTCCCCTCCCTAGCTATCAGTATGATGGTATAGTTTCATGGCAAATATATATTATGTCATTTGTATACCAGCACAGTCAAACAACCAAATTATTTCCTTAAAAATAAAAAAATACCAGTTCATTTTATCTGTTTCAAGAAACAGTTTACGCATAGAAACGCATCTAACAGATTATATCTACAGGTGTACCTCGGTTTACGAACACCTCGGTTAACGTCATTTTCGGTTTACGAATGAAAATCCATTGAAAATAATGGCTCTGTTTACAAATTTTTATCGCAATACGAACGGATTCATTGGTTTTCAATGCATTTATGATCTTTTTTTATTAATATTGTCCCTGTACAGTATTTATGCCTTTAAAGTGCACTTTATAAAGAGTTTTGAACAGATAAGAGACTTTTTTTTTTACTTTTTTCTGACCTCTAGAACAGATTAATTGGTTTTTAATGCATTTACGAATTTTGTTTTAATCATGTCCCTTTATGCCTTTGAAGTGCACTTTATAAAGAGCTTTGACCACATAAGAGACTTTTTTTTTTTTTTTTAACTTTTTTCTGACTGCCAGAACAGATTGGTTTTCAATGCATTCCTATGGGAAACCGCGTTTCTGTTTACAATTATTCGCAATACGAAAAGGTCCTGAAGAAAGCATTACATTCGCCTGTATTGTAAATTTGTCTTCAAAGGTCATGTAAACCTTTCCAAAGAACTTCTGTTATTTTATCTCTTTCGATCCCTAAAACTTGTGTTCTGTTACAGTATATCTGTTCGGGAAGTGTTAATCCTGACTATGCTGACGAACTTTGCAGTGTTATCTCAAACAATGTTATCAAGAAGTATATTAGGAAGGGTGGATAAAAATCAATGATTAAAAAAAAAAAATTAATCGGATTTTTTTTATTTAAATCAGATTTTTTTGAATAAAATGCTTTTTGAGGAAAATATATTACCATCCAAAGGTTATTCCATCATGAAATAAAGATTAGTTTTTTAATTATGTAGAATAAGGCTGTATATGTTTAATTGTTTGGGTAAATAAATTCCATGAATCCATTCACAATGTCAGGCTCTTCCAGAGGTTTTTGTAAGATTATTGGGCAGTTTCTCTGCCTACAAGATATTATCACAGATGATTGGTTTACTTTTGCAGTTCTCAAAACTGAATTTGACTCAGCGGAGATCACATGCCTCTTCTTCACAGCAAAAATGTTATAACATGAACAGAGTTAAGAAAAAGACCTTCATCCTAACTTCTACAACCTATGAATACAGAATCAACCCCTTCACTGCTAAGGTTCAAGAAGTTCAGTGAATAGAATAGAAACAATATTTTTCTGATTGTTTGGAGTGGAATAGATCTGCACAAGAAGAAAGTGAAACTAAGTGTGAGGAGGAGGGGCTGACAGTCTAAGTTTCTTAAAATATATATATTTTGTTTAGCCAAATTAGTTCACAAACATGGATGTTTAAGCAAATCACATCTGCTGGAATGTTATTGTTTCAGATGAATAAATCTATTTAAATTGTTATTATTAAGGTAATGATTATTTTTCTCCTTCCTAAATACAACAGAAAAGTTGTCCAAATATGAATGATTAACCTATTAAACTGGGGATAAAAAAACTAATATGAAAAGTTGTTATTCTAAAAATCTTCATCTACTTGTATATTAAAGTTATACCAGCAAGAATTAGTCTTTATGTAGAAAACTAGGATTTACATCAATCCTTACTGACTAGTGATTTAAATCATGATTTAAATCAAATCCACCCTGATATTAGGAGTACAAAACAACTCCCTCTATGTTATACGGGGAAGCGTTCTGTAGTCCCAAAACAATTGTCTCAGGGTGACAACCCTGCTCCTCCATAGATACAGCACAATGAGTAAGTGTTGTCATTCTAGGAGATGAAGGAAGTCTGTTTTACTGAAGGAGCTGAAATTCTTCACAAACTTGTGTGAATGTTCACTTTAATGATCCAATCATGTGAAAAGCAAATTCCTGTTTTACGTATTTGATCTGCACCATGATTGAATCATTAAAATGAATAGTCACATAATTCATCGTGTAATGATTCTCAGTTCCCTTAGTAAGTCAGCCTCGCTGTGTTACCAGCAGAGTTAGGGTTGGAGCAGAGGTTAGGTGTAAAGGGTAGGATACAACCCTCTCAGGCTGTAGATTAATAATTAAACTGTCGGCAGCAAAGAATGTCAAGCATTATTTGAAGAAGAAGCCTCGTGAGGATCTGGCAAAAACCAAAAAATTCAATAGAAAGCATCCAAATTTCTGCTACATACATTTAAAGGGGAGACTGCAGGTATGGGAAAAGCACACATTCACATGGTCTAAGCATACATTTCAGTGAGTTTAAAGTGTTACTAAACCACAGACCCGGCATTCACTATATCCCACGCTCTCTGGACCCTGCATTCACTATATCCGCTCTCCCCGGACCCGTCAATCACTATATCCGGTCTCCCCGGACCCGTCAATCACTATATCCGCTCTCCCCGGACCCGTCAATCACTATATCCGGTCTCCCCGGACCCGGCAATCACTATATCCGGTCTCCCCGGACCCGGCAATCACTATATCCGGTCTCCCCGGACCCGCAATCACTATATCCCGGTCTCCCCGACCCGGCATTCACTATATCCGCTCTCCCCCCGGACCCTGCATTCACTATATCCGCTCTCCCCGGACCCTGCATTCATTATATCCGGTCACCCCGGACCCTGCATTCACTATGTCCCGCTCTCCCCGGACCCTGCATTCACTATGTCCCGCTCTCCCCCCCGGACCCTGCATTCACTATGTCCCGCTCTCCCCGGACCCTGCATTCACTATGTCCCGCTCTCCCCGGACCCTGCATTCACTATGTCCCGCTCTCCCCGGACCCTGCATTCACTATGTCCCGCTCTCCCCCGGACCCTGCATTCACTATATCCCGCTCTCCCCGGACCCTGCATTCACTATATCCCGCTCTCCCCGGACCCTGCATTCACTATATCCCGCTCTCCCCGGACCCTGCATTCACTATATCCCGCTCTCCCCGGACCCTGCATTCACTATATCCCGCTCTCCCCGGACCCTGCATTCACTATATCCCGCTCTCCCCGGACCCTGCATTCACTATATCCCGCTCTCCCCGGACCCTGCATGCACTATATCCCGCTCTCCCCGGACCCTGCATGCACTATATCCCGCTCTCCCCGGACCCTGCATGCACTATATCCCGCTCTCCCCGGACCCTGCATGCACTATATCCCGCTCTCCCCGGACCCCGCATTCACTATATCCCGCTCTCCCCGGACCCCTCATTCACTATATCCCGCTCTCCCCGGACCCCGCATTCACTATATCCGGTCTCCCCGGACCCTGCATTCACTATATCCGGTCTCCCCGGACCCTGCATTCACTATATCCGGTCTCCCCGGACCCTGCATTCACTATATCCGCTCTCCCCGGACCCTGCATTCACTATATCCGCTCTCCCCGGACCCTGCATTCACTATATCCGCTCTCCCCGGACCCTGCATTCACTACATCTGCTCTCCCCGGACCCTGCATTCACTAAATCCGCTCTCCCCGGACCCTGCATTCACTATATCCGCTCTCCCCGGACCCTGCATTCACTGTATCTGGTCTCCCCAGACCCTGCATTCACTATATCTGGACTCCCTGGACCCTGCAGTCACTATATCCGGTCTCCCTGGACCCTGCATTCACTATATCTGGTCTCCCCGGACACGGCAATCACTATATCCGCTCTCCCCGGACCCTGCATTCACTATATCCGCTCGCCCCGGACCTGGCAATCACCAACTTTAACTTTCTTCTAGTGCTTTAGTAAGCAGGAAGGGGGGCAAATGTAAAGTTTGATTGGCTCAGAGAAAAGCTGAATTGACTGGTTGTAATAGACAGCAAGAACAGCTGGCCCTTTAAACTACTTGACAAGGACTGTACACCAATTCTATGTGATTCTCGAACCAGCAACAATTACCGGCCACCGTGAAGCGGTCCATGTAGTTGAGGAGGTTGACGTAGAAAAGAATCATGACTATAGCGAAAGAGTGCCTGTAGGAGATTCCCGTCAGTATGTGCACGTCTCCATCTCCCCTCTCCTCATCTTCCTCTTCATCATCCACCACCTGACTCTCTGGGCCCCTGGGCCGCTCATCCTCTGTGTCGTCCGCCTGGGCCAAGAAGGGGGTGGAGTCACCGACGCTGTGCCGTGACGCCATGACGTTCCCCAGCCAAGGGACCGGAAAACCTGAGAAATGCATTAAACATTTTATTATAGAGGACATCTCCAGTACAAGAATGCACAAATATATTCCAGACATGATACAATGTACAGCAAACAGTATTGTTTTCAGAAAAGCATTCCTTGAGCTCCATTCAGTGACTTTGCCCAGGCTCAGATGATGTCATCTGTCTGCTGCAGGCTGGAGAAAGCATTTCCTCAGTCTCCTCATAAAAAGACTTCAACACTGCCACTTGCAACAGCGGGTTATTATTTTATTAATAACATAGGGTGTAAAAACTAGTCACAGACATGAGGAATAAAAAGAATTGTTACGTAATCCTTTGGTAAGCTGTTAGTCCATCAGCGGTGTGTGGATGGGTCCGGGTCGTTCAGGAGGAACGGTGATGGAGCCGTCAGCTGTGCAGTGAGTTTGAAAATGGCGCCGAAACCAGCGTGGACCACAAGGAAGACAGGGACTCGGTGGGCGACCAATGGCAGAGCAGGAAAATGTCAGGTGAAGCATTTCGAAGCGCTTGCTTCTTCTTCAGACCTGACTGGCTGTAGGGGACTCTATATATATATATATATATATATATATATACATACATACATACATACATACATACATACACACATATATATACACACCTTATTCCTCCCCCTTTTTGTATCCCACATTGACCATCTACCATATTTAGAATTTTATGTTTGGTCCCCTCCCAGCGCCATTTTGTTCCTTTTTTTCTGTATATCCTCACTGAATATCTCATCACCCCCGGCAGACCTCTGGATGTTACATACCGCCTATTACAGGCAACTGAGCTGGATCGAACTCTTAAAAACTGATTCTTCCTCAGGTTCCACTTTTATTTTTTTTATTTTTTTACATCTGTTCAAGTCTACAATAGCAGACCTGGACACAAATGTATTACCCTCGGTCTGGTGAACCTGAAGAGACCAAAAGATAAATCGGACGCACGTCCATTACAACCGGCCACCCTAGGGATATGTTACAGTCAGTTTCTGATCCATCTAATGATGGGTCAAAAACGGACCACCGGAAGACCCCTGAGAAAAGGGACCTTACAGGTACCCAACACACCCACTGACACCTTGAGGAGAGGGGGGGGGATTATAATCAGACTGGACATTGTACTGTGTTGTCTGGTTTACCCCCGGTTCACATGTATGCAGCCATGCGGGCTGCGTTTTGCACGGGCACGAGAGCCCATTCATTTGAATGGACACCCGTGCCCCGTGACACGCAGGGAAGAAGTCCCTGCACTTCTTTGGAAAATGCAGCCGAGGTTCCCAGTACGGTTGTATTTCCCAGTGTGGGCGGCGTGCCATTAGAACTAATTAACTCTACAGAGGTCAGAGAGAACCCACAGCAAGGGATTTCTACTTCTTGTCTGTTAAAGAAATAAATATGCGAAGAAGAAGCCACTTATCTCTGACTAACCCCCGGTCCACATATATGCCACGTTTTGCGCAGGCACGAGAGCCCATTCATTTGAATGGACTCCTGTGCCCCGCAGGGAAGAAGTCCCTGCACTTCTTCTGAAAACGCAGCCGAGGTTCCCAGTACGGTTGTGTTTTCCAGTGCGGGCGGCGTGCCATTAGAACTAGCCAACGGGTCTGCATTTTCCTGTGCGGGCCGCGTGCCATTAGAACTAGCCCACGGGTCTGCATTTTCCTGTGCGGGTGGTGCAGCTGCATGGATTTTCATGTGGATACGTAGCGGCACCCCCCGCGCAGATGTGAACCTAGGGTTAAAACCATCACGAGTTTGCAGAAGAGTAATTACAGAAGGCACAGTAAAAACATATACATGGAGTTCAGACACATACATACAATAGAATTACCACTCAGACAGAAGCAGGAAGCGTGCGGTCACCAGACTCGGGACTCTGCAGCAGAAAATTGAAGATGCTGACAGCACAAGACACAGAGATGACCTCAGTCCAGGAGGAGGGGGGGGGAGGGGTACCGCCTCTGATCGTTCACATCACGTGGCTGAAAAAGAGAATAAAGAAGTGGTTTAGGTTAGGACATTACTTGCACCCTGAGGCTGACCGGTTACTACAAGTCTCAGCATGCCTTGTGCAATACAGTAGTCACCGGTCTCATAGAATCAATAAAGTGAACTACAGTATAATATAAACTGAAGTGTTTTTTTATACTTTGAAAAAAATACAGTTTTTAATATTTTTGAATACTTGTTGCATCGCAGTGATGCTGGTCAACCGCAGCCAATTTGCAGCCACTTCCTGTCTACATACACTACAGCAATGGCTGCATGGCAAATGTCAGGATGGGGCCCTTAATGACGACAACTAGGGATGAGCTTGGGAGGGTTCGGATACTAGTTGGAACCTGCCTGAGCCATCTTGCCAGGGAGAGGTCACCCCACACCACCAATCAAAAGCAGTCAAGGCATGTCCCTTGTATGTGTGGGGTGAGGAAGGCCTCGGATTGGTGGTCTGCAGTGACAGCTTCCTGGCGGGATCAGACTAGTATCCAAACCCGCATGAGTTCATCCCTAGTGACGACCGTGGACTGCAGCTATGTACTAAAATTTTAAATTTCTGTGCACTGCACAATACTAACAAATAAACCTGAAAGTAAATCAAAGTAACGCAACGCATGCTACTAGTTATATATGTGTGGATATGACCAGGGGCAGACTGACAACTCATGGGGCCCCCGGGCAATAGGGGATCATAGGGCCCCTGTGTCCTTGCCCAAACTCAAAAAAGCCTATGAAAAAGGTACCAGGGGCATCTCATGGGGTCCCCTACTGACCCCGGGCCCTCAATAGGGGATCATGGGGCCCCCTGTGTCCTTGCCCAAACTCGAAAAAACTATGAAAAAGGTACCAGGGGCATCTCATGGGGCCCCCTACTGACCCCGGGCCCTCGGGCAGTGCCTGAGTTTCCAAATGGTCAGTCCGCCCCTGGATATGACTTTCGTCCATGTCCAGGGAGATTAGCTACAGTGCCATAGGCTGGAAACTTCTTGACAATGTTGCGCACAGTGGACACAGGAACATTAGGATCTCTGGAGATGTAACCTTGAGATTGTCCATGCTTTTCCACAATTTTTGTTCTCAGATCCTCAGACGATGCTTTGCTGCTCTTTCTCTTCTCCATGTGGCACACAGAGACACCCAACAGAAAGGTGGAGTCCATTTTCATCATTCTAACAGGTTGCCGGAGTGATTTCTATATTGTTGTCACCTGATCATGGATACGGGGAGTTTAATGACAAATTACAGGAGCGTCACAGACTGGGAATGTAATTATTTCTTACAATTTTGAGATGGTGCCAACAATCTTGTCCAGTCCACTTTTGGGGGTTTTGCATGGAATGTGTCAGATTTGGCTTTATGTTTCTCCACTTTTATGTGTCAGATCAATACAAACAAAAGAAATAAACAGGAGAATGCTGAAACATTTGTATTTGCAACAATTTTCTGGGTGCATTATCTGACAGAAATGAAGGGGGGGCAATATTTTAGGCCATGACTGTATGTGACCCTGCATTCACTATATCCGCTCTCCCCAGACCCCGCATTCACTATATCCGCTCTCCCCGGACCCTGCATTCACTATATCTGGTCTCCCCGGACCCTGCATTCACTATATTTGGTCTCCTCGGACCCTGCATTCACTATATCCGCTCTCCCCGGACCCTGCATTCACTATATCCGCTCTCCCCGGACCCTGCATTCACAATATCCGATCTCCCCGGACCCTGCATTCACTATATCTGGTCTCCCCGGACCCCGCATTCACAATATATCCGCTCTCCCTGGACCCTGCATTCACTATATCTGGTCTCCCCGGACCCTGCATTCACTATATCCAGGCCCCCCGAACCCTGCATTCACTATATCTGGTCTCCCCAGACCCTGCATTCACTATACCTGCTCTCCCCGGACCCTGCATTCACTATACCTGCTCTCCCCGGACCCTGCATTCACTATACCTGCTCTCCCCGGACCCTGCATTCACTATACCTGCTCTCCCCGGACCCTGCATTCACTATATCCGCTCTCCCCGGACCCCGCATTCACTATATCCGCTCTCCCCCCGGACCCCGCATTCACTATATCCGGTCTCCCACAGTACACAGAAATGCAATTATTTTAGTAAATATAAACTGCTGAATACCTTTTCTCATCAGCAGTATATAACAGTCTATCAGTGTTCAGCAGAGCACTGGTTAAAGCTTCTTTCTGCTCTAGGAGGATGCAGGACCCCTGACCCTCTGTCTGGACAGTGCTGATTGGCCCTGTGCTGATCACATGCACTCTCCCAAAAAAAAAAAAAAAACAACCTCTCTAGCAATACGACCCAAACTGAGCATGTGCAGAGGGACTCCACACAATATGTCTTATCAGGAGATAAGAGGGGGCACTAGAAGAAGGGGAGGATCAGAGAAGACAGGATCAAACATCCTTTTTACACAATGCGGAGGATTAACCCCTTAGGTTCCACAGTGAGTATAACAAGCATGCTTTACTGCATTTACAGACTGATTGTACTGTTCTGGGTTTAGTAACCCTTTACATGCAGACAGTGTGACAGCAGGTCCAGGAGCTGACACTACAGGATAAGCTGTGATAGTGATGACTCAGGCAGGGTGGAGACATTTCATCACAGAGGAATCACCTGCCTGCAGAACATTACATCCCACCTGTGTTGTTCTATATTCCATGATGTAATCACTGATTTAATACGATGCAGATGTATCGGAGGGTAAACAAGCATTATTATGGGCTGTATTGAGGGGATGCGGTGTCAGACGGGTTCTGAAAGGTGAAAACATCTCATAGAGGATCTTCCATGGCAAACGGAAAGCCTGCTTTTTTGTCAATGAGCCATTTGTGTTGGGGGAAGGGGGATGGGCTGCATGATCTGGGCTTAGGGCCGGTTCACACTATAGAACCACAGTCAGGATGCATTTCTGCATGCACAGTTTTGATGCCCTCCGGTTCATTTCTCCCTCTCTTTTCTTCAATTTAAATAGGGACATGTGCATTCCAATGCGTTTTTGGTGCATTTCAGTGCAGGAAAAATGCAGCCTGTTCTA